ACTAAATATTATTTAGTGTTAAAAAAGAATGAAATCTTGCCCTTTGCAACGACATAGATGGAGCTACAGAGTATTATACTAAACAAAATAAGCCAATTAGAGAAAGACGCATACCATATGATTGCACTCATATGTGGAATTTAAGAAACAAAACAAATAAGAAAAGGGGTCAGTAAAAAAGAGAGGGACAACCAAGAAACAGATTATTAACGACAGAGAACTGATGATTACCAGAGGGGAGGTGGGTGGGGGAAGGGTGAAATAGGGGATGGGGATTAAGGAGTGCACTTCTCACGATTAAAAAAAAAGAAAAAGAGTAAGTGACTTCTTGAGTGGACTTTGAATGACATAAGATTTCAAGAATGAAAGATGTGGGGTGCCCTAGACAGAAAAAAGTGTCTGAATAAAGACGAGGAAGAGTGAACTGGTAGGGTATCCTTGGGGAATGAAATTACCAGTTCAGCTGGAAGGATGAGTTTGGGTCACAATGAACAGAGCCTTAAAATGCTAAGAGCCAATTTTAAATTTGGTTAGGCAACAGGGTATCATTGAAAGTTTTGTGGGAGAAAGAGAACAAATTGGTTTCACCTCCAGGATAGGGCAAATGTGATTACCAAACCTTGCTGTCTTTCCCTTCTTCTGGGCATACAGCTACATTACATTTTGAGTCTTTTCTGCAGTTATATGGGTCATGTGACTGAGTTCTGGTTAATGAGACCGTAAGAAGTGAAATGTGAGAAGTGTAAACTAATTCCTGGCCTCTAAAACCCCCTGCATAATCCCCAGTAATCTCTCTGCCCTCATCTCTTGACAAGATGAAGAAGATCCAAGGGAGGACTTTAAGGCTCCGAGAAGAATCATTGCATAAAAGGAGCCTTGGTCTCTGAATGACCACATGGAAGGCTGCTGGAGGAACTCCTAACTAGATGAGGCTGTGGGGCTCTTTGTGACTGTAGGTAGGCTTCCCGGACTAAAAGAGCAGGTGAGGGTGATGGTCCTTAAATCAAAAAACTGCCTGCAAGCTAGAAAGTCTTCTGCTCTGCTCACTTGCAAGACAGAACCAACTTGAATGTGATGTCAGCTCCAAGTAAGTCCAAGTTTGTCCCACAGTCCTGGATATACATTAGCTATTGGCCACTTCCTGTCTGATCTATTCCTTGAAAAAATTCCTTTAGTTAGCTGGGTGGTCTCTTTAGCCTCTGCTGTAGAGCTATGATTTTACATGTGCTAGAGTTAAAAACCACTCCCCTGAGAAGGCATGAAAAAAGGCACAAAAATTAGTGAAAGCATGCCATGCTTGGGAAGCTCCAAGTGTTTATTTAGATCTGAGTGGAAGCAACATGTGTGGAAAGATGGGTGTTCTGGGTCTGGTTTTGTATCTGCAACAGATGAAGCTGAAGGGTTGGGCAAGGGTCAGATTGCTGACATGATATGAGAGAATGTTTGCTGGACAGAATAAAATGGCTGGCAAAGTGGTGAGCAGCTGTACTGTTTCAGTTTTCTTCAAATTCTTGAAGCCCTGTTTGGTAGAAGAGAAATTCCATTTGTCCAAAGGGCAAGAACATAACTAATGAGAAGAATTTACTTCAAGGTTTTACTCCAACATAAGGAGCATCTTTCTTTAATTAAGCATGTCTGGTCATGGTGGTGGAGAATTTTCTGTCATTTTGAAGGTGTCCAAGCAGAAGTGTGGGAAGATATTCTGGCTGTTCTGAGGCAGATTCAGATACCAGATGACTTCCTACTTTCCATTTCTACTTTCCATTTCTAGCCTAGTCCTCTCTTCAGAGCTCTACTCCTTGTCTCCAGTGGCCTTCTTGCTCAATTCCTTTTCCACGTCTCCAAGATGCTTCCAACAGAAAACTTGGTCTAGAGTATGGCACTACAATCCGTTGAGTTTGAACAGTTAGGATCTGGGTATCATTCTTGACTCCTCCCTCCACCTTCTCCACAGCCAATCCATGTCCACTTCTCTGTACTGCCTCTGCCAGCATTGCAATCCAGGCGATCATCATCCCTCTCCTGGATGATTGCAAAGCCTCTAAGTGACCTACCATGTCTGTTCTGGCTCCCTGTCCCATTCCCTCTCCAAAATGCGGCCAGAGTGGTCTTATGATGGAGGCACTCCTTTCCCTCAAAACTTTTCAATGGCTTCCCCGCTGCTCTTAGGATTAAGAAGAAAGCCCTTAACAGTAGCTGCAAAAACCTACATGTTCTTGCTTCACTTCATACCTTTCACTCTCATTTTCTGCTCTCTCAAAAGCCTGGCCTCCTCAGCTCTTCCTGCCTACCAGACCATTTGTGCATGCTGTTCCCCATGGCTAGAAGGCTCTTCCAGTACAGGTATTGCCATAACCTTTCCCTCACATAAATTTCCATCAAAATTGCCCTTTTACACGTGTTTGTGGGATTCTCTGATAACATATGCTTCAGTAGATATAAACTCAGTAGCCTACTTCTTCACCCCTGAATTGCTAGTCTGGTGCCTGACATGGAGTTATAGATACTTGTTGAGCAAAATGAATAAATCATTAAATGTAATGAATCAAAGGGATGTTGGATTAAATGACTAAATATTTCTTTTTTTTTAATTTATTTTTGAGAGAGAGAGAGAGAGAGAGAGAGAGAGAGCACAGACAGAGAGAGAGGGACAGAAGATCCAAAGTGGGCTCTGCACTGACAGCAGCAAGCCTGATGCAGGGCTTGAACCCACGAACCATGAGATGATGACTTGAGCTGAAGTCAGATGCTCAACCACCCAGGTGCTCCAGTGACTAAATATTTTTAACTTTGGCTAGAATTTCAGTTTTCATTTTAAGAAAAATCTGTCTGTGAACTGAGGACGAAGACTGGATAGGACTGGACAACTGCCAGGATATGGGGGATGAGAAGGATCAACAATGACCAACACACATTGATAATTAAATGAGTGGTATGGCTTTCAACAGTAGTAATGCTATGGCACTACAATCAGATGCCTACTCAGATTACATGTGAAATTTTCTAGTGTTAGCAAATAGATTATTGGTTGTATGTACATCTGTGTTTTAAAAGTCATTATAAATATCCATTTGGAGTTAACAAAACCCTGTTAGCCTCTCAGGACCAATAACAGAAAGAAATGACACTCAAATCCCAGGCCAATTGGAAAAATTTGTTATAGAATCTATCATCGTTTGTACCTTTTGTGACCAAGTAGAACAAATCCTGGACTATTGATTTTGTTCTCAAATGTGGATTTTCCCCAGAAAGAGCCACTAAGGGTCCTGAATGTCATGGGAGTTGGCTTGGGCCTACATGGAAATTTTCAGTAATCAGAATAGGAGAATTTTTTTTTTTTTTTTTGGAACTTCCAGTCATGGGAACCATTAGGAATGGGCATATTTTTTGCATATCTTTCTGTTCAAACATCTTATGGGGCAATTTCCTTAATGTTTTTTCTTA